ACTCTCGATCAGGTCCCGGGGTTTATCCAACCTCACAGGCCGTGGAGACTTTTTATTTGATGTCTTTAAGATCACGTATAGCGTTGATTTTGTTTGTACCACCTTTCACTCTCCTGCTTCAGGTTTTTCCTTGGGTGGAAAGCATCTTTAAAGCTTCATGCTTTCCTTCTCCCAGGATCTATGCTCTGACTCTCGATGCATTAGTCACAGTTCCAAGGCGGGGCAGGTCAAATAACTTCACAGTCAAAACCCAACCCTAAACTGATGATTTCTTTATTCCAAGAAAATGCAAGGACTTGTAGTTCTGCTGTGGTAATGGGATTTGGCTTGAATATTAAGGGATCTCAGAGTCAGTGACCTGAAGTTCAGGCCTGGGAGCCAGGCATCATGGGCTCTCTGCTCAATTTCAACTCCAAGGCAATTGACTGTCTTATTTTCCAGTCAAGCATTGACTCCAGGATGTGCTAAAAGAATAAATACCTGAGAAAACCATAGGCAGGCTAACCACATTCTTCAAGTGTGGACTTTGAACTACCAAGAGCATCAATTCACCTGAGGACTTGATAAAAATGCAGATTCCTGAACCCCATCCCCGACATTCTGGATCAGCCTTGGAATCTGCTTTGTCAATAGGCTTCTCAGGTCATTTTTATGGTCATTGAAATATGAGGACCACCTCTAGATTCAAAGGTGGTCCTGAGACCAGCAGCATTAGCAACATCTGGGAGCTTGGTAGAAATGTAGAATCCCAGGCCCATCTCAGACGTCCTGAATCAGAACCTGCATTTTAACAAGATCCCCAGATAATTCCTTAAAATTCGAGGAACATGTTGCTAGGATAGTTTTATCTTGTTAGCTACTTTTCAGCACCTGGGGAGGTAAAGCAGCATTGCAAAAATGGGCTTCTTCTCAATCCTAACATACATGAGTCACTATGGAGTTTTTTAGTAGCACTGACATCTCCACCCTGCCATAGGCCAATTTAATCCAGCCTCCTGGAATGGGGCGTGGGCATCTGTGTTTTGAAGAGCTCCATAGCTCATTCCACTGTGCAGCCAGAATTGATAACTACTGTTCTCTTGGAGCAAGTCAGAATCAAAGCTTAAAGCCCTAAATACAGAGCATCTAGCTGAGTCTCATTCCCCTAAAAAGCAATCAGACATTTGCCTAGTAACAAGGGATTCCTAAAATATTTGCCTTTTTCTAAGAGGCAGCATTAGCCGGTGGAATGGCTTCTTATTGTCCATGCCTCATAGAAATATGCTGGGGCTCCACTGGCCAGGACCTCAAGAACAGCGTTCCTGGGCCAGCTGAGTGGCATGTTGGTTAAGAGCTGGCTTGGGACTTCAGAGGGCCCCGGTTCGGATCCCACATGTGAGGGCCAGTGACACTGCCCTCCACAGCTAAGATGCTGAACAACAGCTCAACCTGGAGCTGGGCTGCCGTGGGGTGGCGGCGACGGGGTAGGCTGCAGCCCCTGTGGCAGTGGGTTGCCATGGGCTACCGTGTGTAGCCAGCAGCCAGCGTGAGCGGCCAGCAGCCGCAGTGAGCGGCCGTCCAGAAGCCGGCGACTGACCTGCCTCACCTGGGAAGAGCGCAATGATGGTGCCAACTTGGGCCAGTGAAGCGGCATCCTCCACAACTAGACTGAAGAATTAAACGACAGCAACTTGTCTGTTCCCCTTCCCCCAGTTCCCCAATAAAAATCTTTAAAAAAAAAAAAAGAGCAGTGTTCCTGCTCCCTTTGTTTTTCGAGGCCGGGCTCTGAGGATCCTCACAATGGGAAATGGCCCCTTCCCTCCGAGGCAGCATTTCTTTTGGCTTGCTCTGCCCCTGGGATTTGTGATTCTGGACAAGGCATATGCCTTCTCACCATGTCATTTTCCTCATTTGAAGGGGTGAAACACAGTGTCTATTGAGTCCTCTGGTTAAGCTGACTGGTGCCCCTGGCTCACGTCCAGTGACTATTTCTCTTTGCAGCAGACCTCAGCTGGGGGTGAGCCAGGAGGGAGGTGGTTGCCCACTTAGAGCCCCCGCCCCAGTGCTCCCTATCCTGTCAGCTGTCCAAATGCCAGCTTGTGCCGCTGATTCTCTTCAACCCAGGGACGTCCATCAGAAAGCTTTGGAACAGGTTTGAGAACAGGAATGATACTGAATTCCTTTGAAATGTCTGAGTTTTGTTTAAGTCCAGACCCCAGTATATCCAGGCTATAGGAATATAAGCCTCCCCACCCTCCCCCTGCCCCGCCCTGGCCCTCATGGGAAAGCCTCCTAACTGGTTTGAATAAACTCTCTGGAACTCATACATATAACTACAGCACATGGAATCATTTACCTTTATTTCTATAGTTATTGATAGTTTGTATTTCTTTTTAACATCTTCCTATCACATGCAGTTTTATTCACCTTCCCCATCTTCTCTCCGCCTAATAAAAATATTGAGTGCTTGCTACATGCCAAACATAATAGCACATTATCCTCACAGCCATCTTCAGAGTTAGGCGCTATTACTATACCCGTTTGACAGATACAAAATTAAGGCTTGGGTAAGTTAAGTCACGGGCTCCAGGTTCCCCAGGGCAAAAGTGGCAGAAACTGGACATCATCCAGATCTATGTGATTCTAATCATACACGGCTACAAAACAGGTCCTATTCCAGTGTTAGGAAAGTTCTCAGTCCCTCACCTACCGTCTCTGTGCTTCCTAGAGGCAGGACCTCCACCATCAGACCTTCCCTTCTGTTGATTTAGAAATTGGCCATAGTGTGTGCCCGAGTCAAAAGGATTTAGAACCAACAATGAGGGTAGGGGGAGTGGGCAGGGAGAACATTTAGAGTCTCATTTTATACCATATACCAAAATACATTCCATATGACTTAGAAATTTAAATGAGACAGTGAAAGTACTAGAAGACTATATATAGGCAAACAGAAAATCTTGAGGTACAGAAAGACTTTATAGACTGACACCAAAGGCAGAAGCCATAAATAAAAATATTAAGAATTTCAACCAAACATTTTAAATGGAAATTTAAATGTGAAAAGCAATTGATAAATTGAGAAAAAAAACCTGCAAAACACATAATTAATCAATTGAATATATAAAACACTTACAAACCAATAAGAAGAAGATGAATACTACAATGTTAAAAATAGGCAAAGACAAAAGAAGAAAAAGAAAACTAATATTCATGATTGATGATGATGAATCCTGGCAACAGGCTTTTGCATTCTCTGCAGGTGGGAGTATGAATTGACATAACCTTTCTAAAGGTCAATTTGACCAAAATGTAGTAAAACTTTTTAAAAATGCGGAGCAGTTAACCCAGCTGTTTTGAGGAATAGGTCTTAAGGAAATAATTAAGGACATGTATAGTGACCCAGTAGGAGAAAGACCCCAGAATGATGTGGACAGAAGTAAAATCATGGCAACACCCTAAAAGCCCAGTAAAGGCATGATTGAAAATATCACACAAAATTCCTGCAATGAAGTACTGTGCCATCATTAAAGCAGGGAGCTAATTTACTGAACTACCTTCATTGGGAGGATGCTTGCCTGGAAAAATAGTCACAATATATTGTTGGAAAAGAAAAAGCCAGTTGTCCCACAAAATAACTGTGTTTGTACTCAAGATACACGAGAAAGGTCTGTCTCTAGGTAATGAGTGTGTGTTCATTTGGTTTTTATTTTCTTCCTGTTGCGTGTTTGCATATTTCATTAATTCTACAATAAACATGTACTGCTTTTGTAATGAGAAAGAAAAATACAATAGAAGTTGTAAAAAGGAATCACAGAGCCCCAGTCCTAGTCCCCGGGGAGACCAGAGTAGGAGGGTTGGACTGAGTCATAGAATTGACCCACACCCTCCTGAGAGGAACTGGGACCTGCCCCTACCTGTCAGCACCCTGCTGGCCCCATGGAGCCCTGCCCTTCCCTGAGGTCAAACTAGCAGTCAGCCCCCAACTCTTCCCACCCTTCCTTAGAGAGATCTGGGTCCCCAGAACAGGTCTGTGCCCTGCAGACGGCGCCCAGAAAACTGTACGCGTGGACAGAGGCAGCCTGCTCCTGAGGGAGATCCAAGGGGGAGTTAGGAAGCGGCACTCATTTCAGGATTGACTCCTCTTTTGGCCACATGTGGTTGTTCGTTTTCCGGAGATAGATTTCTCTTCTTTGGATCTGCCTAAAAACACCCTTTTGACTCTCCTGCCCTTGGTTGAGATTCGCTAGTGACCGAGGGTGGCTGCCTCTTTCTCTAAGTGCTGACAGCCCTTTGGCTGCTGCCTCTCCGTCTCCCTCCACGTCCCGGGCCAACGCCGACCACGCCTCGAATTGCCCCTAGGAGGCAGAACTGCCAGCTGACTGACAGTCGGGGTGACTGCCGGGCGGCCGGGAGCCACCCCCGCGAGGCAGGCGGGCCTGGGCAGGATCCCGCGGATTGCTGGGAATCTATTTGCATCCTGTTACTGGTTCCCGGAGAAAGGGACTGGGGTTCATCGAGCCGGAATCGGGGAGGCGGACCCCGCCCGGGCAGCAGGCTCGCAGGGATCCGGCAGAGGCCTGGCCGCCCCCAGAGTGCCCGAAGGCGCGGGGGCGCGGGCATTCTTTCATTCTCCCTTCCTATCCCCGGGAGCCCTCACCCCTCCCAGACGTTGGTCGAGGGGAGGGTGGGGTGTCTCTGAGCGAGGTCGTCAAGGGACGCAAGTTCCTGCCCCGCCCAGGGCCCCCCTACCCGGATCGGAAAAGCAGCGCTCAGCCGAGGCCCTGGGGCTGCCCTGGCTGGGCTATCTGGTGACCCGCGTGGAGGCCGAGAGGCGACGACCCTCCCACGCCAGCTTGGGCTCCTGCCTCATTCTCCCCCTAACCCTCATCGGCCCGGCGCGGTGACACCAACGGGGCTTCCTTGAACACACACACACACACACACACACACACACACACACACACACACACACACACACACACACACCATACACTTGGCCAACCTAGGGGTCTCCATCCCACCTTCTCCAGGTGTGGCTCCTTTGCCTGAGCCCGTGAAGCCCCGGCGTTGCGGGGAGCCCGGCGGCGCTGTGGGGCTGAGGTCGCTTTGTCCCATGGCCTATGCGTTTCCACTGTCCCCCATCGGACGACTGACTAGAGGTCTCTTAGGGGCACGGTGCCGCCCCCACCCCCGCATGACTGCCGCGAGGCGGGAGGAAAGCTCCCCACCCTGGACCGCGCGCTCCCGGCACGTGGCGCCGCTGCGCGCAGAAGGCGGGGTGGGGGGTGGGGATGGAAACTGACCCAGGACTGCAGAGCGGAAAAAAGAGGTGGGGCCCCGCAATCCGGCCATCTCAGAGCTGCCAAGCTCACGAAAAGCCAGTACTAATTTGCTAAAAGAGTAAATTTTAAGAGAGGAAATTTGAGACGCTAATAGCAGCAGCATCTCAGGGAACGGCAGGGGAAAAATAAGTTGTGAATCAGGCTTTCGCGCAGGGACTCAGATTCTGCAATAAGCGCTTAATCAAAAATAAAATATATTGATGCGGTAGGCAAGTCGCGTTTCTGAGAAGGTAAAAATACAGTGGACTCCCCCACACCCCAGATGCTCCACCTGCCTGCTGTAATTACAGGGCTTCAGAGAGGAAGAAAAAAAAACACGACAGAGAGAAATCTGCTTGCATATTTTTCCTCTATTGTGCTGGGCTCATTTGAATTATAATGTGTTGCAGGCCAGAGTAGGAAATTTTGTGCCTTGAATAATGAATCCCCCCTGGAGCCCCCGTACCTGTACTTCTCTTTAGTGTCCACTGAGAATTACGTGTTCGACATTCAAGTGACAACACTGGAAAGGATTTCAAAGCCCCGGAGCCCAGAACGATGTACACCCCAACGGCTCTTCTGCCTGCCCTCTCTTTGGCTTCCAAATACAGCAAGCTCTTTCTTTACTTAAAATATGTTCATCTTTCACATGGGTCCTGGCTATACCACAAAAATATTACAGAGAACTAAGCTCTTCTGAATCTGAGCTAGCCCTGCGGGGCACAGAGCTTCAAAACTGCTAAGGCTCCAGGAAAATACCCAGATTTTTAAAAATGGAAAAACCGGAGAACAGAGAGGTGCAAGGTTTTGTCCCAAGCCAAAACAGACTTTTCTGGTGTTAATATCATTTGACTGGCTCAGGCTGGCTCTCCATAAGAAAAGATAATAAACAGCCAGTGATTTAATAAAACGGACACCATTTAAGTCACATGCAGCATCCAAACCTTTGGGATACTCCATGGTTCTGAACAGCTATTTGACAGAGGTGTTAAGTTATAAGGGACAGATGCAGAAAAAAAAGTCTGAAAACCTAAGATGAGAGAATGGAAGCTTTACAAAATGATAGAAGCAACTGGCCTTTCATGCCTAAACTTTCAAACAAATTTTGTTTTGTTTTGTTTTTTGGCTTTAGTTAAGCATTTTTTCTGATGTGGAATAGGTTATGAAGTCTTTTCAAAAACAAGTCACTTTTGGTGAAATATATCCATATGATACTATGGAACTATTAAATAAAAGTTCTTTGCTAATATGAAAGGGTTTCCAAGATACATTGCTGAGTAAAAAGCAAATATACTATTATCTGTATGGAATGAAAAGATCAAAGAAACGTGAATATGCATATTGTTTGTATAGTCATAAAATATCTTTGGATAGATATTGCTTTTGGGGATGGATGGAAAGGGGCAGGATTGGGGGTGGGGGGAGATTGTCCCCTCCTTATCTAAACCCTTTGTCAAATTGTTTTTAAATAATGTAAACAAATTACTTGCTTAAAAAATAAAGAAATGTAATAAATATGAAAGTCACTCAAGCTGTAATGTATCCCAGTCAATCCTCTCCAACAGAGGCACAAACAAGGCAGAGAAATTACCTGAAAATGGGATGGAGGAAGGAAGACAAAAAAGAAGCAAAGACTAGGTTTAATCAGCAAGTTAACAAAGGACAGCCTACTATGCACACGCCTTTACTTTCTGTGCTCAGACATTTCTTTTGTGTCCTGAGAACTGTTTCAGAACTTTGTAAGTCCCTCCTTATTAGCATTCTAAGAGCTTTGAGATGAAAAGTGGAGAACCCCAAAGCCTGGGGAAGACAAGAACTCTGCCAGACCTTTGGGTCTGGCTGAACCATGTTGAAATAGCTCTTTAGAGTCTGCTGTACCACTTCCAGCAGCCACAGAGAGCAAGGAAACTCTGAGGGTCATCCACATAGTCTGAGATGTTCCCCCAAAGAGCTCTCAATCCTGCTTCTCAGACGCTTGGCCCTGCAGTCCAGCTGATTGCCGAGGTAGTCAGTGAGACTGAGAGCCCAGCTGAGACCCAATGGGGGACAATGCTCCCCAAAGAAACTTCCTCTGTGATAGGCTACTCCTGCTCAAACAAAACAAGCAAACCCAAACAAACAAAAATTCTTCTTTTCACCTGCTCTCTGATTCCCTTTAACAGAACCCAAACCTTTCTTTCTCCACTTAGAGCAGAGTTTCTCAACCTTGGCACTACTAACATTTTTACCAGGTAAGTCATTATATTGGGGAGGTTGTACTGTGCATTGCAGGATGTTTAGCAGCAATTTTGTCCTCTGTCTACTAAGTGTCAGCAGCACCCCTCACCGAGTTGGGGTGTATATATATTTGTTAAGAGTCACAGATACGCGGTCTGACAATTAAGTTCACGGACTCATCTTAGAAAAAGTGCTACATACTTCATTGCTGAATAGCACTAGGTTACCTTCAAAATATTCCTCTTGGGAAGCTATGCACCAATGCCAGTGCCTAGTCCACCTTTCAAAGCAATTTTGGAACTCTTTTTCTGGAATGGCCGTAAGAGCTATCATCATATTATCTTTGATGTCCTGAATGTCATCAAAATGTCTTCCTTTCAATATTTCCTTTATTTTCAGATAAAGAAAGAAGTCACTGGGGGCCAGATCAGGTGAGTAGGGAGGATGTTCCAATACAGTTCTTTGTTTACTGGCTAAAAACTCCCTCACAGACAGCACCATGTGAGCTGGTGCATTGTCATGATTCAAGAGCCATGAATTGTTGGTGAAAAGTTCAGGTTGTCTAACCTTTGCACACAGCCTTTTCAGCACTTCCAAATAGTAAACTTGATTAACTGTTTGTCCAGTTGGTACAAATTCATAATGAATAATCCCTCTGATATCAAAAAAAGTTAGCAACGTCATTGCAACAAGTTCGCAAACTTAATTGTCAGGCCTCGTATGCTGGAAAGCAGATGTATTATGATGTTGTGCTGGACACTTCCCATTTACCTCTCCAAACCCACTCTCCACCCTTCTCCACCTTGCTCTGTGTCTCGGGAAGGTGACTCTTATAAGCTGCATTGACAGGCTTCATCAACATTTTCTCTCTCTCTCTCTCTCTCTCTCTCTCTCCCTCTCTCTCTCTCCCTCCACCCCCCCAACACTCCCCCAGTGGCTTCTGGTTGGGATTGGCCAATGGGAGAATCTGGCCAGTGGGGATGAGGGAGAAAGGTGAGATTGATTATGCTGGGTCCCGCTTGGCCAGATCATGATTGGTTGATGACTTCCCTCTTCCACAGACCAAAGCTTCCATTGGGAGGCTGTCTCTTAGAACTATAGCTCTCTCTGTGTTCAGTAACTGCTCCCTCCCCTTGGCCTTCAGGCCTAGAAGTAGTAATAGTTTACTGCTGTTGCTAGCTCCAGGATACTGCACCATCCATCACTGGTTTCCCTAAATAAACCCTGCCCACAATTTTATAAGTCATCCCTTTAATTAAGATCTCCTCAAATTACTCAGTTTGAGTGTGCCATCCATGTTCTGCTGGACCCTGACTGATACAGATGATATGCGAAATGAAATCATTTGAGAGAAAGGTTGTGGTATGGAACAGGATTTAAGAATTCCAGGATTCTGGGCCGGCGGAGTGGCACGATGGTTAAGAACTGGCTTGGGATGCCAGAGGGCCCCGGTTCGGATCCCACATATGAGGGCCAGTGACGCTACCCTCTACAGTTAAGACGCTGAACAACAGCTCAACCTGGAGCTGGGCTGCCGTGAGTCACCAGCGACAATGTAGGCTGCAGCCCCTATGACAGTGGGTTGCCATGGGCTACCGTGTGTAGCCAGCAGCCAGCGTGAGCGGCCAGCAGCCGCAGTGAGCAGCCGTCCAGAAGCTGGCGACTGATCTGCCTCGCCCTGGAAGAGCGCAATGATGGTGCCAACTTGGGCCAGTGAAGCAACGTCCTCCACAACTAGACTGAAGAACAAAAGGACAGCAACTTGTCTGTTCCCCTTCCCCCAATTCCCCAGCACTGTTCCCATTCCCCCAATTTCCCAATTAAAAAAAAAATTTTAAAAAAAAAAAAAAGAATTCCAGGATTCTTTGACCAAACACCCAATAGGCTGACGTACCTTGAACCAAAGAGATCGTGGTACGCTTTCTCTCCCTATTTCTCCCCAATAACCAAACCCAGGCCTGAGATCTCCCACTTGGAACATGAGAAAGCATTTGCCCCAATACCAAGAGTAGAGGTTGTTCAAGTCATGTTTGGCCTTTTCAAAACAGACATGGTTGAGGACTAAAAAAAGTAGCATCCATAAGAGAAGAGATAGTGGGATCTTTCCCCAAGTGAGCAAGTTGTCCCCTTTATTACTTAAGCCACATGATGGAAAAGGAAAATATTGACATGTTAACCCCTTTGTAAGTGCATTATCTGGAAAATCGGGGCAAACGAATGTCCTCCGATTTAACACCAAACTTTCTTCTTAGACATAGAATATCTCCATCTTAATTCTAACGTATCCAGGAGGAGAAGAAAAACATGCCGGCCATGGCGGGTAAGGGGGGCTTCTTCACTGGCCCCTGGGCTGTCTGGGTTTGGACAGGCAGAGGCTGTCCCAGGCCTCAGCTGCCAGGAGGTGAGAAGAAACAGAGGGCCTGTACGGCGCCAACCCACGATCACCAGATGACAAGGAGGGCAGGTGCGGCAAGGATGAGCCCAGAGAGCCAGCTCTGCATCTGGCAGCGGTGCCTCTGGGCCAGGCCAGGACAACAACCTCGATTGTCCCTCCCAACAGTAGCCCTGCTGATCCCAGAGAAAAGAAAGCCACGGGGCCATTTGGACCAGGCCTCTGCAGGAAGAATGCTGCCCTTTCTCTGCAGCTCTGGGTCCCAGAGTCATGGAATCAACAGCTCAGAAGCTGGCAACCCCCTCGGAGTC